AAAACTGGATTAACAGTGTAACTTGGATTTGCATAGAACATTTTTGCAGTACCATACTTGCATTTCTTTTAGAATGAGAATGTCCAATATTTAAGTGGTGATATGGATCGTTCATTGTGTATGATGAAACTACCTTGTTATTGATGACAATGCCATTTTTTCTCCCGATTTCCGTACAGCCTGTCCTGTTATTTCAGATGACATAACAAGAGTCTCCCTTGGGAAATCCAGGAAGCTAAGTGGTTAATGCATAAATTCCTGGTACACTGAGCTGTAGTGCTAATCGAGGTTGGGCAAAGTTTAGAATGGATTGAATTGGCTATGCACATAGGATGAGAGGAAGAGGAATTTACTGACTTCAATAAAATTCAACACAGTCACACAACACATGATTTTGATCATGTCCAATGCTGTTTTTGTGGCTAAGCTATTACTATTCTTAAGCATTATATAGTGTCATTCCATTTCACATGAATTCTACATCACTGGAATATCAAAATCTGCTAAATTAAATTCAAATTAATTGTTAGATTAGTTCCTGAACCCATTGTCTCTCCCTTGTAGTTTCCTGTCACTCGTTTGTTGTCCTGAGGCATGTGGGAATGATTATGGCATTAAAATGGACCAGAAAAATTGGGTAATTTTGAGAATTGGTTTCCTACTCACCAGTCTGTCCAGGCTAAGCCTCTTTTCTAGCTGGAGTATTAGCTTTGACGATGAACAATAGTGTCCAATCCCTGTGTTGCAACCTCCTCCCATGGTAAATTTATTTTGAGTCACTGTCCGTCATTCAAAGTTCTCTGCTACAATGACAGATAATAGTTCAGCTGTCGTGACTATTATTTTCCAAAAGCCAGACATATATTCAGACAGTATCAGCACAAATTTATCAGCCTGGTATTCCAGGCAGGGTCTTACCCAACCAAGTCTATTCTGGTCTCTAAATATGGTTTGAGTCGATATTTCAATGTTAGTCAATGGGATTTATCAGGTCAAAGTCCTGATAGCATCTGGAGCACAAATGGTGCATGACAAGTTGCACGCCAAAGTTTAGTACGAATGGTTTGGGGTTGAAAAATATTGCAACAGAAATGTGATGCGCTGCCATTCTGATGACAGAAACATTAACATCGTTAATGAATGAGTGAATGTGCACCCCAGCGGCTGGGCATTTGACTAATCTCTGCTAATCCTGACCTGATGAAACCAGATTGAGCAGAAATATTGGCAAAAGAGTGGGATTACTGAGCATGGAGTCTGGGCAAATATGTGACGTGAGGGATGACGAGACAAACCAAACACACAAATAATCACATATGCACACACAACCTTGCACACTGGTATTGTTTCACATTTTTTCTATACTTGCAAATTAGCCCTAAAACACAGACACAGGGCAGTTAAAGAGGTCACGTCCAGTGTGTGTCAAAATGGGACGGTACATGCAGAGATAAGGAGAGGTCTATCTCAGTGTGTGTGCTTATGGGACAGCCAGACTGAGTCAGATTACTCTACTGGTAAACATCCGCTGTCGGCTGTCCCGACTAAAACACGACATATGACGCACAAGTCTCAAATCAGAGTTTTCTCCATGTCCTGAAAATCTCTCCCTCTGTGCATTTCATCAAACAAGAACATCAGCCTATTTCATATACTGTATGTAGATTTCAGGCAACAGTTCGCCAAAACTAAATAAAAGCTTTAAAGTGCACAAAAACGTGCAGGTATGGCAGAACAGTGCTGGGCTTTAACTTGCGGTTTACTCTATAATCATTTGCAATTTAGGATTCGGAATGTCTATTTGCACTAAGTGCAAAAAACCCATCTTGTTGGCAAAGGCTGTTTGCACTACCATTGACTGGTTGAGCCAGACAAAATGAAAAAAGAAGCCTGAAAGTGTGAATCTCTTTTCCCACTGTATCAGCTCTAACATAATGCATTTACCAAATTTGACATTTCTGTTTAATTCTGTTCTTTGTTATGGATCATAAGAGTGTAAACTTGGCACACAAACAAGGCTGTCTAAATGAGGACATATCGTTAGATTGTGTTGATTTTGAATCAAGCTAATAATATTGACTACATAAAAACCCATAAAGCTTTTTTTTTCTTTTTCTTTTTTTCTTTTCAGAATGTCATTTTTGGAGCATTTTGAAGACTGCTTTCATTGAATGAAAAGAGCAATGCTAACATCCTGCCAAACATCCCCTTTTGTGTTCGAAAGAAGGTCTTACAGGTTTGACATGAGGGTGAGTAAATGACGACCGCATTTTTCATTTTTGAGTGAACTATAATGAACTGAAGCTTTAATGATGTTCAGTTTATAAAAAATGGAAAATAAAAATAATTATTGCAATTTAATAATTCATTAATGAAAATATAAAGTAACCTAAAATAGTGGAGTGAACAGCAACCCAGAAATCACTGTAGAGTCACAGTTCTGTTCTGTTCACAGTTCAATGTGTAGAGTCACAGTTCTGTTATGCAACAGAAACACTGTCAACATGTGCCAGAAGTGCTTGAGCAACCTGTTTGGAAACAATAATTTTTCAATTTCAATTTGGTGCTACTAACGGTGCAGAAATTACACTTCAACCTTTTATTATCCCAGGGTTATTGAGTTTCAAGCACACAATTTTAGAACATATTTTGACCTGAATATGACCACACTCTTTGAGAATTTCTTTAAAAATGTCGTTTCTCTGCAAGAATACACTGCTTAATGGCTCTCGCTTTATGGTTTGAAGTCTCTGGCCTTGTGAACCATTCTAGTAGATAAATATATACTGTGAGAATGATAAAGGACATGTTTACTGTGACATCTATGGCTGCCAGTCAGTATGTTTTCAAGCCATTTATTAAAAAAAAATATATGTATTTCATATGTATTTTTTCATATTCCCGAATAATCATCTGCAAGGGCTCCGCAACGGTACTGCAGGGGGTTCTGGTTCTGGTGGAGCTGTTACTTACACATTACGTATGCACTTTATTAGAAATTCCTCTACTAATTTCAGATACTCAGTGATTTGATTCATAATTGTCCATCACACAGTAAAATTTAAATGTCAAGTTTGAATAAACAATGCTAAAGTTCAAGTAAATATTTATTTGTCCATCTGACTAGTAAAATTAAAATGTATGACTCTGCAAATCCATTAAACTAATTTACAACTACAAACAACTAATGAATTGTGATTTTTTTTTATCTCAACATGTTGTTTATGATGCATAAATCTCATTTTTAACAAAACAAATATACAGGCAGTGATGCATGTGCAACAACAATACTGTGCATATGTCTGATCTACTGTCTTAACATAATCTATACATATCACATAAAATAATTTACAATAATTTACGAGTTTACATCTCACAATTCTGACTTTTTTCTCCGAATTGCAAGATATAAGCTCACAGTTGTGAGGTACAAAGTCAGAATTGCAGGATATAAACTCAAAATTGTCTTCTTTTCTCAGAATTTTGAGAGATAAAATTGTGAGGTTTTAAGTTCAGTTCTGAGGGAAAAAATTGCAGTCAGAACTTGCAATTTGCGAGAAACAAGTCAGAATTGTGAGATAAGAAGTCGCAATGACCTTTTTTGATTGTTTTATTCAGTGGTGGAAATAGGCTTCCATAGTTAAACACCTTTCTCTTAGCACCAATTCATTTGACCTGCAGAAGACAGCACAGAGTTGTATCATCTTTGTATTCTGTCAAAAACAATTACACAAAATAAAGATGTCTTATTGACAAAAGTATGTCAAATTATGTCTGACACTTGAAATGTACACTCTATCTGGTGTTGAATCATGACCATTTTTGAAGATGCAGTTGGGAGAGCAGTGCTGTTTATTTTGGCCGCTAATGGACCTTTAGCCGTCACTTTGGTACTATCATCATGAGTAATGAGAGGCTAGGTCATATATGTCTTCCCTCACAGCGGTTCAATGAAGGGTTTTAATGAAGCATCTGACAGACACGCAGATTTCCTCCAGCTCATGCTCCATTAAAAGCTCTTTATTTGTTCGCTCTGTGTAGCAAATGACCCAGCAATGAGAGTCATTGATGAGTAAGACAGCTGGAGAGCCATGCTTAGCCTTCGGTGCTTCAGATTAATTGTGAATGAGGACCGGAGATGTGTGTGGTGTGTTGGGATTATGTCATTTAACGCTCCTGTGATTCTCTGATATCATTTTTTTTTTTAAATCACTGACTGTGCAGATTGTCCACATTACTTTTCATACTATATATTATTTTAGTTTGGCATTTTGTTTCTTTTTTTATTGATTTACACTACTGTTTAAAGTTTATGGTTGGTACAATTTTTAAATGTTTTTAAGAGACGCTGTGAAATTCTATTTATTTTTACTTCTGAAAGATGAGGCTGCAAAGAATCAGTGGTTCTCTAATCTCGGGGAATTCACCGCGGGATTAACAAAACTTGAGCTTGCTCTTGAAAGATGGCTCAGTACCCAATTTATTTGAACCAGCTTTCTATACTGAATCACAACCTGTAAGTATGATAAATAATAGACTTTTACGGAACTATGGCAATGGGTGTATCGTTTCCGACCATCGTGTCCAAGGCTATATTCTCAATATCTCTTAACATATCTACATTTCTTCTGCAGATTTCTGAAGAATTGGAACTTAAAGTAAATTTACTCTTCCCCTTGCAAGTTTAGCTCTTAAAAGGGTCATGCTGCTCAAAATATTTTACTTGTTCTGAATCAGGTTAGAATCTGTACAAATAAAGGCAAAAATTGTTGTGCTTTAACCCCAAAATGCACCTGATATACATATGTAAACATCCACACGCCCATAAATGAGATTCACTGTAATTTATGAATAGATCCAACCAGTTTCATCTTCATGTTATGCCCTGTGCGTGTAATCCAGGCCACAGACCCCTTTACACAGTGTGCTTTCACTAATAGGATTGATGCTGCCCGCACTGTGCACAACACCAACTGTCACTCACTTTCTACTGGCCGATCTGGAAGGTGGGCGGAGCCGATCTGTCCCGAATGGGCTGAACACAGTGGATGCTTGAAAAGTGTGGTGATCTTCTTAGTCTATCGCTGCATGGTGAAGGAAAGAACGAGAGTATGAGTGGTTTCTCCAGATCCTGAGCAAAATCGCACTAATTATCTGCACATTGTTATCTGTCAGTCCATTCTTTCTCGTCCATCTGCGTGGGTCGTTCTGCCATCTGGATCTGGGCGGTGGATATATGGAGATCTGCTAGTGTGGCTGGTGTTTTGTGGACGTGGGACACACGATGGCCGTGGCACTGGATGCAGTGTGGGTGCGAGTGAAAGGGGTCTGTAAACAGAATGGCCTGCTCATCCTCTCAGTGTTGGCCGTCATTATCGGATGTCTGCTCGGCTTCTTCTTGCGCTCCAAAAACCTCTCGGAGCAGGTTAGTCTCCCTGTCGACCTCCTATATGGGCAACGATGAATGTTCACTGCAAACACCACCGATACAATGTAAAATCCTAAATCCAAAAACCTCCCATAAAACCCTATTCCACCTACCGTGTCAGTATGGTCCAAACTTCTCCTCATGGCCTCATCCGGTCCAAATTACCTTTTGTTTTCCTTTTTTTTTTTTGGGATGACTTTCCAGTAGAAGCCTAAAATCAGGGCTTATTTATGTGATCAATGTGAGTTTTTCGATTCAATTATGATGGTCAAATTGTGATATTTGATGCAAATGACCTTTGGGCTTTATTTTTTGGATGGCTTTCCAGCAGGAAGCTAAAAATCAATGATTTTTTTTTATTATTGGTTGATCAATATGTGTTTTCAATTCAATTATTACCATCTCATATGGTCCAAATTACCTTTGGGTTTTCTTTTATTTGAATGGCTTTCCAGTTGAAGGCTAAAATCTTTGATTTATGATTATTGGTTGATCAATATGGGCTTTTTGATGACTATTATGGTCTCATTTGGTCCAAATGACCTCTGGGTTTGCTTTATTATGGATGACTTTCCAGTAAAAGCCTTTTTATGATTATCGGTCTGTCAATATGGGTTTTTTGATTATACATTGACTCCACCACAGTCTTGAATAATTTGGATTGAGAGTTGTTTCCTCAATATTAGGATTAACTCTGCATTGCAACATTTTTGAACATTCTCAAAGCAATATACAATGAGAAGCAAAGTGACTTTTAACAAATTAAGTGAGTTTATGCTTAAAACAAGAAAAAATATATTTAATGGTGTAAGAAAAATAAACCTAATTCAAAAGGAAAACATGCTTATTTTTTAAGTCCACTGACAGATCTTTTGTCTTGTTTTAAGCATTTTTGCTTTTCAGAAAACAAGACTTAATATCTTCATCATTTTACTTCAAGTAAATCTTGATTTAAGAACATGTAGATATTTGTACTGTACAAAATAAGTCATTTTTGGCAGTGTGTTATTTTCTAGTTCTTCATTAGATCAAAACAACAGCGAATGAATGAACGGCAAACAAAAGGTGGCGTTTCTCCCGTTTTCATTTTGTGTCCGCTTCGACTAAAACCTCTGAAATGATTCTCAAATACGCCTAAAAATAAAACCTCCACAGGCCATTTGCTGAGACGGCCGGGGATTACTGTCCAATCATACAAATGCTCTTAGTAATTGTACATTAAGCAAGTGCTGCTTAGCCTCGCAGCATTTAAAGCAGGTCGGTGATGCTATTTGCCATTTCAGCTAAATTGCAATGGGCTCTTTAAAAACTAAATTTAGGCTTATTTTGCAAGAGAAACCCAGTTTGGATCTAAAAATTAAAGAAAATTTTATGTGCATTTCTGCATTTGGCATCTGTTTTTATCCAGAGCGACTTATGTTTTGTCAGTACATGCTTCACTTGGAATTGAACCCTTGATCCTGGTGTTGCGAGGTAAGCTCTAGTTAAAGTACAGGAACATGGCATTCATATAGATGCATGTAAAATTGAATTTTTGCAGTATCTCTGTCATAGTGAAATCACATTGCACCAAAATCTTACAATACGTTCCAATTTGTTGTGATTGTTTGCCATCGCAGCATTTTCGCATTCAGTATTGAGAGATTATTTGTTGATGGGAATTATCTGTTTGGGACTCAGTGTAAACAAGTCCATTGCTATCCATGAGAGGAAATTATGATAATAATGTTTGGCTCACTTCATACTCCACCCTCTCTCTCATACTCAACACACTCTGTCTCAGTAGCAAGTCATATGAAGGATACAAAGTACTAGGAATAGCTATATATGTCTATTGATTTCTTTTTATACAAAAGCAAACAGAAAAATCGGTCAAGAGCCTATTATGTTTGGTGATTTTGTATGAATTATTTATGAGTCATGCATGAGAGGACAGAGAAACGACTTAAATAACCTGAAAGCACTAGTCACACACACACAGTTTTGTTTTTGTGAAAACAAGGACTTTCCCATAGGCGTAATGGTTTTTCTACTGTACAGACCGTATATTCTATTGCCCTACACCAACCCTACCCCTAAACCTACCCCTCACAGGAGACTTTGTGCTATTTCAGATTTTCAATACATTCCATTCTGTGTGATTTATATGCGTTTTGAAAAGTGGGGACATGGGGTAATGTCCTGAAAAGTCACCTTCTCCTTGTAATACCTATGTCATACCCTTGTCATTATACAAATTTGTCACCAAAACGCACACACACACACACACTCTAAAAAATGCTGGGTTAAATACAACCCAAAATAGCAACTGGGTTGCTTTGACCCAGCGATTGGGTTAAATGTTTAACATTTGTAATAAATGTTTAAATTTAGTAACTGGGTCAAAACAACCCAATAGCTAGGTTTGTCCATATTTTACCCAGTGCTGGGTTGTATTTAACCCAGCATTTTTTAGAGTGTAGCCAATTTTCTACATGATATAGAAAATAAATACAACTGCAGATAATACAAAATGGTTATAGATCTAAATAATGAACATCAATAAAAAGTTTTTCTTTTTCATTTTACCTTTGAGGAGCTCAAATTTTGTTACATTTTTCAAACAGTTTTGTTCTTAACGCAAACGCACTCACATATGCTTGGAATAATTGGAATAATTAAAATGTTTTAATGTTTTTGAAAGAGGTCTATTACGCTCACCAAGGCTGCATTTATTTGATCAAATACAGTAAAAACGGCAAAATTGTGAAATATTAAATTGAAAAATGTAATTGATCAAGTGACAGTAAAACATTTATAATGTTAAAAAAGATTCCTGTTTCAAATCACGGTTTCCACAAAAATATTAAGCAGAAAAAAACACTGATAATAATAAGAACCATTATTAACAACTGAGCACCAATAATAACTGGAAACTGAATAATTGAGCAGCAAACCAGCATATGAGAATGATTTCTGAAGGATCATGTGACAAAGAAGACTGGAGTAATGATGTTGAAAATTCAGATTTGCATCACAGGGATAAACTAAATTTTACAATATATTACAATAGAAAAAAAAAGTGGAAAAAAAGTAAAAATTTGCAGTAGTGCGTGTGTGCTTGAAAATCATTAAAATATCATAACTGATCCGTTTATGTGTACATTTTATGGTGTCTTTTTACACTATTTTTTTCTCAGAGCCATTGGACATGCATGTATTCTTTTTCCTTCAATACCTACAATTCAACTTTGACTAGCTGTTTTGATAAATGTAAAAACCCGCTGTCCTTCTAGACAGATTTCCAAACTTATTTCACAAAGCCGTGTCACAATACAGACTCACACACTCGCTCTTTTGCTGATTGTATTGTGGAGAGCAGAAGCTGAATGAAAAGAAAACTATGCAGTGTTTTTAAACTTTTGATTTCATTTTCTGTAGGCCTACCTGAAATTTGTTCAGTTGTATTTATTTATGATATTGTTAATTGATTTGTTTGTTCCTATTTTATTACTGACTGTTTACTGCTTACTTGTCTTTAACAATTTAATGTTTGACATTTATGTTAGTCTAGTTGTTTTTGCTGCATGTGGTATTTTTGTTAAAACCATTGGCAAAATTTCCACTAGTAGGCTTAAGTGTTCTGTAGGATGCTGATTTTTGCTTGTGTTATTCAGCTGCAACAGAATGCTTTGTAAAAAGACAGAATAAATATGTTTGGCATCTAAATGTTTGACTTTTTTTTCAATCTTATTGGAATCAAAACTCGGAATCGATATGAATCAGAATCGGAATCGATAAAATTCAATGTATACATAGACTTCACCCTGCTGGAAAATCTGGCCAAATCAAGTTGATAGGAAACAGTGAATAAAAAGATCATGTTAATTATACCCATGCATTTTTCTTTCTTTCATGAAAATGTTGAAAGTCAATATCAAGTTATCAAGCAAAAATTATAAAAAGCAGTCAAAGCAATCTGTGCACCATTTTCCATGTTCTTTTAGAGTTGTATAAGGAAAAGACAAAAAAAAATTTAAGCTGTTCACTGAAAATCTGCTTAATGTGTTTCATTGAAATATATGCACTTCATTTTTTGGGAGACGACTGATGGCTTGAAACAGAGCAATCATGCAGACGTCTTCAATGATACTTAACTGTTCTGTTTGTCATTTTTGAGCTCAGGAATGCTCATTATATGGAAAAAAGCTATGCAAACACTGCAAAAGGAGAATTTTTTTTTTTAATTTTGCTTTCAACAGAAACTGAAAAACCATACAAGTTTGGAAAGACATTTGAACTAATATTGGTAGCTGGTTTTACGTTGTTTCTAGCTGGTCCAAGAAGGTATTTTGTGGTCATTTGTCATGGTTTAACCAGGCTGGTTCATATATGGTGCTTTTCCACGGCATAGTATGGCATGGTACGGTTCACTTTTGGGGGGTTTTCCACTGGGTACAGTACCTGGTACCTGGTACTGTTTTAGTAACAACTTGAGGTTCCAAGTGAACCGTTTACCAAAACGTGACGTGTAAACTCTGCTGATCACTGATTGGCCGGAGAAAATCGTCACTACCTGCGTCACTGACCTCTTGACGCAAACACAACCGCTAGATTTAAGTCTGCACAGCCAGCGAAGGATCGAACACACCTTTTTTTACAACCAAAAAATGGCTGTTTCGTGGTCTGTTGAGGAAGTACAGATGTTCCTCTCGTTGATAGCAGAGGAGCGGATCCAGCAAGAGCTTGATGGGGCGACGCGGAATGAAAAAGATTTTCAGGAGTCAGTAGAGGCGGCGCAACTATAAAGACACGTGAATAATCCTGCCCCTCTAAAGTGGTACTAAACTGCAGTGGAAACACGAGCCGAGCCGTGCCGTACCACACAGTGGAAAAGCGCCAATGGTTGACCAGTTGGACTACCAGCTATTAGGTTTGGTAGACCACCTAACAGACCAAAGTGGACATGCAAAATAAAGTATAAAATCACTTTTATTTTTTATTCATTTATTTTATTT